CAACCGAGAACTTTGATCTCTGGTGACGCGAAAACGCACTTGTCGATGTTGGCGTAGAGCTTGTTCGCTCGCATCACGTCCAACACTCGACGGAGGTGTCCTAGATGCACCTCCATGGCCGTCTTGCCTCCCTCGGCACGGCTATGGACGAAAATGTCGTCGAAGAACGTCTGTACGAAGGTACGCAAAGGGCGGAACAATTGCGTCACCAGGCGATTGAACGTCGCCGGGGCGTTAGACAAGCCCTGCGGCATGACGAGCCACTCCCAAAGCATGCCGCTTGGAGTGCTTACCGCGGTGAGCGGGATGTCACTCTCTCGCATCAGGATTTGGTAGTATCCGTCTACCAAATCCAGCGCACTGTACAGTACGCTCCCGGCCATGATGTTCAACAACACATCCTTTCGTGGGATCGGTGTTTGGGCCGGCACCGTTGCGTTGTTCAGCTTGTTATAAGCGTGAACCAGACGCCACTTTCCGTTCGGCTTACGAACGCAGAAAGTCGGCGTCGAGTGCGGGGATTTCGACTCCCGCACCATGCCTGCCTTCGCTTTCGCGGCGAAGAAGGCATCAATGACCTCGCACTGTTCGCGCGGGAGAGGCCATTGCCTCGTGACACAATACTTTGTGCCGGGCACGAGATCAATCTCGTGCCGTACGCCTTGATCCGGTGGGAGTTGGGTCGGTGGGTGTTTATTCACCACGTCCGCATACTCCGTCACCAAAGGATACACCGGATCCTTGGGGTTCTTGAGAATCTCAGAACCCAAGCGCGCCTGACGCTGCTTGTTCATGTCTTCCAGGACGTTCTCGTCCAAGACAGAGGAGGAGTTCAGCTCCTCCTGAGTGGTCTCAGGTCTTATGAGTACCATCTCAGCGATCTCTCCATCCTTGAGGTTGGCCAGGAAAGACTCAGCCGTCATTCCCTCGAGGTTCAGTATCTCTGCAACCTCTGGCAACGGTTCCAAGTGGACACCAGATGCCTTGACGGGTAAACCCGTCTCGCTATCGAAGATGTGATAACACTCTTCCACCGGCCTTGTCGGAGGAGCCCGGGCCCTGGACTCCGAGTCGCTTGAAGCGACGTCGATCGGAACGAAGTTCGGATCCGACTTGAGGCGGCGGCGGCGTCTTTGCCGACGGCTTCTGTGACGGGGAGCTTTGCTGCCCACGTCTAGGGATGTCGTCGCTACGACATCCGAGGCACTCGTGGCCTCGTGTGGTACTGTTGTACCCACACAGGAAGCGTGTTCCACGCCTTCCTCTTCAGTTAAGGTCTGGGCGACCGCGTGTGGCACTGTGTTACCCACACAGGAAGCGTGTTCAACGCCTTCCTCTTCAGTTAAGGTCTGGGCGACCGTGAGTGGTACTCTGTTACCCACTCTGAACACGCTGTTCTCAGTGTTCATGACAGCTGCAGCTGTCTGCGGAACTAAGTTACCCGCCTGTGGACCTAAGTTACCCACTTGGCCGGCGCCTCTTCTGGGCGCGGCCACCATCAAAACATCCTCGGAGTCGTCATATACGTCGACGACTCCCAAGCATCTGCCGGATGCTTTGGTACCCTGGCAGCCCTCGCGGGCGCCCCGGGTCCTGACAGAGGTGGGAACATGACTCACCAATGCTCTGTCGGACTGCGCAGGGCGGCTGGCACCGATTGCCTTGCCTCGCCAGTCGATCCAGGGCTCGTGCTTCTCAAGCCAGGGCATGCCCAGGATCATATCATATGGATCCATATCGAGAACAGTGAACTGTTCGAGGCTGTCAAAGTCTTCAAACTTGACAGCCAGATCCACTTGGACGTTGGGGACAGTGACGACCTTCCCGCCGGCCAGTCGCACTGACACCGTCTTGTTGCCCTTGCTTTCTCGCAAAGCTTCGGACAACTTGTTGCTGTTACGAGCAACCGTCTGGCGGCGTGCGAAATTCTTCGACGCCCCAGAGTCAATCAAGATTCTAAAGGGGTGATCGTACCCCCGTACACATCCGTGTACTACGAGCAACCCGCCGCTGCTCTTCGCCGATTCGAGAGTGCGAAGACTCTCAGGGGCTAAGTCCCCGTGGTACGCGCCACCCGCGCACCCATCACGAAGACTTAGTTCTTCCCCAGTAGGGCGCCCCGCCCCTACTGGTTCCCTGCGTTCCCCTGTCCCCGGGATCCTGGCTTCTTCCAGCGACCCTTGAGGACGGGCTTGGGGAAGGACCGTCTGCGGAGTCTTTCCGCGGGACAGTCGCGCTTGAAGTGGCCCATCTTCCCACAGCCGAAGCAGCGGATGTCACGCTGTTCGGCGGACCCGAGTTCCATGGGAACTGGTCCGTTGGGGCTTGTTCGACCGGGAGCCGACAAGGAACTCCCAGGCCACGCTGAGGCCGGCGTACGCGCCTGGCGATGGCTGTATTCTTCTTGAAGAGCCACTTGAATCGCCTCTTCAAGGGTGCTTGCCTGCACCCGGAACAGCTGAGTGCGTGCGGGGCCCACTCGAAGGCCGTCCATGAACACAGTCATCTTGATGTGTTCATTGAGTGGGTTTCCCACTAGGGACGCCGTGAGCTCCCGTATCTCTTGCACATACTCGTGCAGTTCGCGTCTTCCTTGTTTACACGCGAGGAAGCGCGAACGCTGGCGGTACTCGTAGTTCGCCGGGAGGAACGCGGCTCGGAGCTGTTCGCACAGCTGAGCCCAGGATGTGAAACATCCAGGGGATGTCGCTTCCCGAGTGTACACCCAACTCTTAGCACGACCGCTAAGGTTGGAGAGTGCAAAAGCAACACGCAGTTGCTCGGTCGAGATCAGAGCCGCGTCCATCGCGAGCTCTACTTCTCGGACCCAGAAGTGAAGGTTCTCGCCTTCCTTCCCTTCATACGGCTTTACCTTCAGCCGTATTGGCTTCGGGTGAGGCGGGTTTGCTTCCGCCGCCGGAGCCTGCAGGTTCTCCCGCACATGCGCGATGAGGCCCTGCTCGTACGCGTCGAATGCATTGACGCGCTCGAGCTGCTCAGCCGGTGTTGATACCACCAGGCTCTGCAGGGCCTCCATTTCGAAGATGCCTGCCATCTTCCGAACCGACTCGAACTGAGAGTCGTTCATATGGGAGAAGTCGTTCCTATCCATGGCAACGAACTTCGGAGGTTCAGGTAGTCTACCCGCGATGGCGTGGATTGACTACAAGTGCTACCAAGTGTGACGGGGTCACACAGCACCTTGCGCTAGAGGAAGTTATCTTCCGAGAGTATACAAACTCTCAGTGAACGGCAGTTCACAGGTCCCCTCTTTAATTAAAGAGAGCGAAGTGACCTAAATAAGGTAGATTGTAAACTGAGTATATTTATAGGTAGGTTAAGTTTGAGGTTAATACAAACTATCAGTTACCTATAGAAATGCAATGTCATTTAACCAATGGTTAGTTTTGAATGACCTTGGTACCTTGTACCAAATATCCCGGAGTATGACATGTCATACTCCTGAAGTGTGAAGTGTCACACTTCATGTAACCAGGGTACACTTAGTGCTACGTACCCCGTTACATAGTGCTTCCCCAACTATGTGGCTGGCACCAATAACCTCAAGACAACTCGCTTCTGGCTATGCCACCACGAGTGCCCTACTTGAACCGAAGCTTGACACGACAAGTGCTACTATGTCACGAAAGTAGCGAGGAAGCGTAGGAGCGTAGACGGCGAGTACGGCGCCGTAGACAGTTGTGGGGAAGGAGAGGAGTTGCTGCTCGAAAGCAAATTGAGAAGTGATTAATCAGTTAGAGTTGGCGGCTGCATGCTAGTAGCTGCCGCACAACCAGTAGTTCTTGACAACCGGATATTCACGCACGTATCCAGGTCCATCCTAAAACCTATCTTTCTCAAATCCTGATTTTCTCTGTAACTACCAATGAAAGCCTATGAATCCTAATTCTTATCTTGGTCGGAAATTTCGCACAGCGTCCCATAATCACAATTTCCGGCTGGAAGCTTGATTGTTGCAAATCTATGGGATTTTGGACCAATAGGATTGTAGTATGATGTAAAGACACGCAATCTTAAGTGTACGCTGATCAGAATAATCTGACCAGCTGAACTCAAATAATCGACGTCGCTGGTCACTGCCATGCCATTGGCTAGTGACCACCACGTCACAACGAACGCCTGCTTATCGTTGCTGCAACATGTAGCTTACATTAGCTACGTCTGAACTAATGAAGGCAGAGCCTTGACGCATCTTCTTCCGTGCTCAAGCCTTAACCTCAGCAGTGCACTCGGTCATTCCCTCAAGTTGAACAAGGGACACTCGGTTTCACACCTTTCGAGCAAAAAACTAACGGTGCACTCGATTTCCTAAAAAAAAAGCACTCGAAAGTAATATCGTTCCGCTCTTGAGTCATGCGCCCTACAACATGCTGTCGCTCTTGCAAATACTGATACCATCCAGCTTTCGACATGCCATGACGTCACGCACAGGACAACCGAAAACAAAACGCGGATCTATCTCAAACTTCGTAATTATTATCGACAACTTCGACATAATTGGCGATGGCTGCACGCAGTTTGTCGCGTCCCAATCGCGCAGATTGCGTTGTCCGATGAGTAGAAACAAGGAATCATACACTGCGTGCAACATGCGTCGAGCGATTAAACGACGCGACGTACAGCCCCCAAACTTTTAGTCGAATGCGAATGCCATCAGTAGGTCGATTGGGGTCATCTCGTAGACGACCGTGCGGTGCACGGCTTCCAGTGCCTTTAGTTGCAGGTCGACGGACCCGTCTTTTGTCGGGTTCAGCGCACTTGTCACACCCACCGCAGCGCTGGGAGGAGTGCGCACATCACCGTAAGAACGCACCAGGAGTAGGATGCCGTCACCGCTCACGAGCAGCAGCGGGTCTCGTCAGGATCAACAACTCGCATGGCTACAGCTGTGTTTGAGTAGTTTATGTGGTCAACACCAACATTAAGTACTTTGAATGGGCACAATCGACTTAAAACTTCACAGCACCCAAGTGACGACCATGAGCTCGCAGCGCGGCAACGTGAAAAAGCGCGCGCCCAAGCATCAGAATGCGTTCGCGTTTAAGCACAACCCCAAGTCCAGGAAGACGGAGCGCATCATGTCTATGCCCATTCATGGACTCTGCGAGAAATGCCGCAAGCAGATCGAATGGCGCAAGAAATACCGCAAGTACAAGCCACTCACGCAGCCAGGCTCCTGGTACGTCGCACTACTGTTTTTGCAATGCGCTATGAACTATATAAAAACAAAAACCATTGTCTAATTATGAGATGGAGAGACTGACTGCTGCTGTTTGTTCACCCGGCTGCAGTATTTACTGCCATCAGAAGACAGTGACATCAGCCTATCATGCCTCTTGTGACCCCTGCGCCAAGGTAGAAAAAATAAACTAGTCTTGACGACGCTGGGGCATTGCAGTATCGATGTGCTGACTCGTTGTGGCTGTGTGCTCATGCAGGAGCGAGACATTTGTGCCAAGTGCTGCTTGGCCAAGGAGATCGTGGCGAGGTGCGTACCGTGGACCTGCAGCTTATCCGAGAAACCACTCCAGATTATTAACTAGCTTTACAATGTTGTTGTTCTTGTGTTTTTGTTGCTGTATGCCAGCGAGCAAGAGCTGCTGGCGGAACACGAGAAGAAGGAGCGTGAGTTTGAAAATACGCTGGAAGGCATGCGTGAACGCGACCGTCGTGCATACCTACGCAAGTTGGAGAAGGAGAAAGAGGCAATTACCAACAGAGAAAGTGTGGATAGCGCTGAAGGCAACGCCTACGAGTCGTACGACGAGGACGATGAGGGCATGCAGTAAAAGACGGTTTTTGACCAATAAAAAACGTTGAAATTGCCATTTTCAGTCACATCTTCATTCTCGCGATGGTGTCGCAGTCGACGCAAGAGGCATGGGAGAAATGGTGGCACACGACCAAGAGTGGCAGCATCCAAACTTACGTGTCCATCGTGCTCTTCTTCCTCTCCACAGTCTTAGCCAACCCCATTGCGCGCTGCCTCTTCTGGAGCGTTCGCAAAGCTTGCCCCAAGAAATGGATGTACGTCTTTAAGAAATGCCATAAATTTGCCAATATTAACGGCCACAACTGCAGATGGCCCGATGATGCTCGGGTGATGATGATGTGGCAGACATCGCTAATATGTCGAGCCGGATTGCTGTGGATCGCTGTCCTAGTCTCGAGACTGTCTCTGCTGCTGTACGAATGGCCGGTGTGGGTTTTCGGTCTCTGCTTCATCATCTGGATGGACTCGGGTGGCAATGTGCTGCGAGAGGTCATTGTTCGCAAAGGAGTGGTGGGCTACAAGAAGGACGAGAAGGCTGGGCGCATGACGCTGCTGTACGAAGGCAGCACACTGGCCAAACTGCTGTTACTCATACTGATCGTCTACACGTACTACGTCGGGCCTCAGATTGAGGACTCGAACGAGCTGAGACTGCTGTTCTCAGTGGGCTTTTTCGTGTCCATTGCGCTGGCTGCGTTACCTCTGGTACGACAAGTCAAGCTCGCATGTGTGTCGATAATGTTCTCATGTCAGTGCTGTCTTGTATCGCTCTGTAGCTGCGCAATGTCATGGGGGCGCACTACATGTTTTTAGCCAACATGCTGCAGTTAGACTCGCGCATCTATCTACACGGCTCGAGGAAGGGCAACATCTGCGATGCGCCACTGGGTTTCATCGTGCTGGCCACTCCAGACAATACCAAGACGTTCATCCCTGCAGGCGGCACAGTTAGCAACACGACCGAAGTTTATCACAGGTTTCTGTGGCCACTTCGACTGGACGTCCGAGTTCCAGCAGACATCCCAGCGAAGCGTGTGCGTGAGTTCGTACAAGACATGGACAAGTTGCTCTTCTGGGACCCTGTGGTTGTTATCGCACCCGACGGAACTGCCACGTTGGACGTCGAGGGAACTTCCTCCTTCATGGATGCCTCGACACCACGTGAAAGTTGTAGCGCCCCTGGGTTTACGAACGCCGAGGCATCTGAAATGACGGCCAAGCTGTTGTTTGATGAGAATCGACAAGAGGAGGAGAGAATTATCCAACGTGCACGAGGCAATGAGGGATATGTGGCCTTGGAGCCCAACAAACGATGGGTCGTGCAGTTCCGCACGTTCGTCCAGGCCACGCAGAAAAAGCTCTTCCGTCAAACGCGAGCTGCAGTAAGTCGTTCGTTCCGTGCTTGTATTTTTCAGGGTCTCTGTGAACTGACTGTTGACATTTTTTGGTGTAGTACATCGAGGCCATCACGAAGCTGATGGAGAAACAAGGAGCAGCTTTTGGAGCGCGGGCTTCTGTTACTGAGGCTCAATCTGCCGATGCAGATTAAAGAGCTCACATTTAACCGGCGACGGCATTCAGGAGCCGACTATCTCGCTGCTTTTCGCGGACCTGGTCCAACCGCATACTGACCTCTATCGTCGACATGTACAGCGCTATATCCCCGTCGTCGGGTAGAACCTGGAGCAAGTCTTCAGGGCTGAGAGTCAAGCACACGTGGTTGAGAATATTCTCCAGGATCGCGCTCTCCTCCGCCTGTACAACAAAAAGCAACGTGAGTCAAATGATAATTATGCACAAGTTTATGCACTCCATACCTCTGTTGCATTCTCGGAAATGGACGACAGTGTGCTGATCAAGAAGCGCCACTCATCCAGTGTAACGCAGAAGCTCTTACCGTACGGCAAGAATAAGTTAATGAAGTCGGCACGTTGTGCGATGAGTTTCAATCCGTCCACCGTTCTGCGCCAAATGAACAGGTTATTGCGTCAGTAAGAGCTTCCGAATAAGAGACAATTGCTACGTACCTGGAAACGCGAGGCAGAGTGAGGAGAACAACGAGAGCAGCCAAATCGTTCTCGAGTTTCCACGGCATCTGATCAGAAGACTCGACGTCGAGCACTTGGTACACCGATAGAACGTCCTGAGGGCGAATTAAGGCCTTCTGATGCAGCAGTCCCAGCGCCTGATAGAAAAGATATTCCAGGGTTCTGCGAAGTCTTGGCGTCTCTGGCAGACAGCGCGTCTTCAAGTACTCTTGCACCCATCCCGGGAGAGTCCCATGAGGAGCTGATTGTGAGACTATCGGCTCAAACAGATCACACACAGTCGCCTCCACACGCCCGTGGTCGTCGCTATTCTGTGACCCGTGGAAGCAAGAGCACAACTTGACACACAGACGCGTCAACTCTGCCGCCACCGCCGCCTTGGCACTCTGCAGATCTTCTTCGTCGTCTTGTACTTCCTCCCTCTCACTCAACTGCTCAAGCGTCGGGAACATCTGAAGCACGAACACCAGGAAGCGAAGGACAAGCACCTGATCAGGAACGAATGCCGTATCCTGGTCATCGGACGAAGACGATCCACTCGAAGCAATTTTTGATGCTGATGGCGCTGCGGCATCGCCAATCGCAGTCAAGCAAAACAATAACGTGGACTGAATCGTTTCTTGGCGGCCGATTGCGTTGTTGAAAATCCGCTCCAAGATGTCCAAGTATCTTGACGGAGCCTTCTCCAGAAGTGCCTTGGTTAATTTCGAGCTGGAGAAGTGTCTGGTGTAGCCTGGCCCGCCCTTATCGATCGTTACCTCTTGAACAAGCAGGTCTGGATGTGTCACTGTCAAGTGGATCAGCGCATCTACGTGGTTCACCAACAAATCGTCCACTATCGCCACCATGTTGGGATGCGAGCACTGCTGAGTAAAAGTCTCGTCTGGAGTGTCAAGCGCATCCCAACCTTCACGTGGGAACGTAGCACCACGCAGCACTAATACAAGTCTTGCAATTTTGACGAGGACGCTGTGGCTCGACGATTCCTCCAACTTCTCAAGCGCAAATGCGATGTCTTCCAGTGTCCACTTCAAGGACGAGTCCACAATCAACCGTGAAAGTTGTTCGGGAAAGTATTTGCCATAGTGCAACAACACAATCCTCGTGAACTTCGCGTCATCGGCACTTGCCTTTTGCTTTTGTTGAGGGGCACAAACGTCAGCAAGCGATTCGGGCGGGGGGAACACGAAAGCCTCGAGATATTTCCCCGTTGCTCGGATAACCTCCGAGCGGTCCACTATCCCAACGATCGCCTGAAGTCGCTGCATCACTTCAATCGAAGGAACGTTCGACGCAACAAACAAGAGCGCAGCGCGCTCTAAGTTGCGATGGTGTTTCGACATGAAAACTGCCGCCAGAACAGCTGCACATTCCCCAGCGAGACGGTCGTATAGCTTCGTCTCAAGCTCAAGAGCCAGCTCCTCCTTTCGGTCGGATATCGAGACAGCCGCTTCTTTTCGAGTAGCACCATTACTGGAGGCAAGACGAAGCAGATCGGAGCCCACGTCAGCACGATAGCGATACAATGAGAACAAACTGAGCAATAAGTCGATCTGGAACGGCTTCATGTCGCCATCGGTAGACAACACGCCTTGCCGCACATACGAAAAGACCAAAGACGGCGGACTTTGCTGGAAAATCAGGATACTACGTTGAGATTGGTCTTCTGTACTGTCGAGAGGCGGACGCAGTTCAAACTCAGCCTCTGGAAGACGCTCAGCTGCAGCGAGACTAGCCATGTGCATGATATCATGCCGATACGCCAACGAACTTACTTGCGGTAGTAATACAACGTACGAATCTAGTGCAGCAAGCTGAGATACCGGGTATGGGATAGGCTGTGTGCACAGGAGTTGAGGTTGCGACGGCTGAGGCACTAGCGACTTGCTTAATGCGCGACTGGCGGCCATGAAGTGACACGGACTCCAAATGGACCAGACTTGTAGGCCTGACAGCGTCGCAACAAACAGAAACGAGCTGTTGGCTGTGATGCTAGTGACTGCAGACGTGAAGGTGTAGTGCATCACCACACGCCCAGACTCCGTCGAGCTGTCGGCTTCGCCGTCTTCTTCGTCTTCGCTCTCCACACTTGTAAACGAGTCTCGACTCTGTCCCACCACAACTTTCCCCATTTTAATCGGCTTGTGCATACCCCTCGACTTTGTTCGCTCGCCCTTGCCCAGCACTTTCTTGGACATTTTCTTCCTGGTGGAATCGACTTCTTCCGACAAGAAATAATACAGAAAAGCATGTTTGTCCGTCGCTACCAGTAGACGCGTGTAGCTCCTCGTCTCGACGCAAACTCTGTTGTCGATGGTCTCCGGGAGGAACTTGAGTGATCGAACACTGTGATTCGGCGGCAAATAGCGTTGCAGCAGCACACTCACGTCGTCCTCTCCGATAAAGTACGACATGGCTTGGTTTGTACGAATATCCTGGCTTTTTACCAGCCCTGCAAGGTTCCACACTTCCTGCTGAGCTTCGTTGCGTCCCAGTACCATGGGCGTTTGTTCCTGCTCGTCAAAGATCCGTCGTTCATCTTGTTCACGTCTTGTATCGGCTTCTACTGTGCTGTAGGCTGAGCACGATACTGGAACCTCAACAAATGCGTTCAAGTCTTCAAAACTCGAGATCTCCACACATTGTGACGAGTCTGGAGGTACTCCGTCTCCGTCTTCTTGTTTACCATTGTGGTCCTCGATGGTCAGTGTCTTTTCCAGCCCTGCGTCCACTTTCGGCGCCTCCTCGACGTCGTTGGAGCTCCTAACGTGGATCTCCATGACCCGAACCTCTGTCTGTGACGCAAAGGCAACATAGACACCATGGATAGCCACGTACTCGACTTGTAGGAAGGCGTGACGCTGTGCCATGTCCACCGTAAGCTCCATGACGTGTTCGAAGAAGCCGTGGCTACATTGCCAGATGTTAAGCACTGAACCCATTGCTACTACAACGCGGCCTGTGAAGCTGCACACGGCCACGCAGTCCGCCTTGCGGTTGGATGATGGGCTCTCCAACACGCCTAGAGGCAATGTGTAGCCGCGCACCATTTTGCGCTCGCGCCAGTCGTGGTAGACGCACAGGAAGGTCTCGGCGTCCTCATCGTCGTCATCCCCCTTCACGTCGCTTTCTAGTGTCACCAAACTGTCCGAAAAGCTTGTGTAGTGCAGCGTGTACACACGACTGTGGATACACGAGAACTCGTGTAGCAGTGCCGAGCACGAGGCCGCATACACGCGGATCACACCCTCTCGACCGCTAGCCACGGCAAACGTTGCGTCGGCCGTCGTCCTCGATGCGCTGGCCAGCGTCTGTGTGTCGTCCGTCGCCGCTCCCAGCGCTAGCGACCGCACGAACAGCGACTCCATCTTGAAGGGATAATTCTTGATGGTGGATACACATGTGTACAGAACACCAAAACAAATTTTATGAAATTTGTATTGCATTATTGGCAAACGCGAGCAAGACGAATATGACGCCGGTTGACGTTGACAATGCGGAACCCTTCGCGTTGCAGTAATTGATCGTCAATTTACTGATAAAAACGGTCGACATGCGCTTCAGTAGCGTTGTAACCTTTTAGTTAATCGTCGACTCGCTTGATATATTCGAAATGTGCACGTTACGTTACTAACCAATAAATAGTACTTTTGCAACGCGCGATCCGTTTTCCGGCGATAACCGTCCTCATTGTTATGCCGATGGAAGCTTGAGGCCCTTCACGTTCTTGACGTACATGTAAAGGATTGGCTCCTTGCGCCTTGCAACTTCAATATCTACAAGCGAGGACGACGCCAAATAAGATACGGCTGTGTATGATTCATGGTTTCTGAGTTTCCTGTTAGTAGGTTGCGTGCAGAGCTCTCTGAATCCTCGACGCACTGTCTCGCTCGTTGCTTGTCAAGCTTTCGTACGTGCGTCAGCGCTTGACGACAGTCCATTCAAACGGCGCGATCGGATAACTGTCATCGAGGTATTCTGCGAAAAGCTCCTGAGCGACTATCTATCTATCTGCCTCGGTCACTTCAGTTCTAGCAGCGGACCAGTCATTAGATATCTACACGCATCAATCTATTTACCGACGGCCATGTCAATGCTGCTTCCGAAAAAGATAATGAGCGCGCGTAGCTCTGCTGAACCGGACCCGAAGGCGTTGCCATTGGCGCTGATCAAAAAGAAGAGCCCGCTGCTGCCGTCACTGAGCGCGCGATCCCCGTTCGCGAGCTGCGCGTCTATGACCAAAAGCTTTTTATCCAGGGCGTTCCCGTCACCGAACAAGAAGCTTTGGAAATCCCAGAGCAGTCCGACGGGTGTAGACGACCATACCGATTCGAGTATGGCTTCTGATGAGCAGGACGACGAAGCCGCAAGAGGGGAAATCTGCGAGATTATTGTGGTGGCCATCCAGAAGGTCACAGACTTAGGGTCCGACGCGGTCGAAGAGCAGGTCCGCGTGAGTACACTCGGCCCGGGAAAACTACAGAAATCGTCGATCTGGGGCTCCGCTAAGTGGTCACAGGGCCAGTTGCAATTGCCGCACCGCTTGGCTTGCACCGTCCGAAGTGGCGCGGCGACCAAGGCCTCCTCTCAGCCCGAGCGCTGCGACAACGAGTTTACCTTTGACGAGAAGTTCGTCTTTGAGCGTCGGGAGAACGACGCGCAATACCATGATGTGACTATCGAGGTATCAGCCGTCGCACCGGGTTTCGGTAGGAAGCACCGGCTTGGTCAAGTTGCAGTGGATCTGGACGCCGCGTTCGCGCAGGCCTCAGGTCCGATCTACGAACGCTGTAACCTGACGATGGCGGACGGCTCGGACTCGGGCGTTGAGATCCACTACGTGCTTCACCGTCTGGAAGTGCAAAATGCGACGGCCGCTGCCGCGTCGCGTGTGCTCACTCGGTCAAGCACGAGTCTGAACGACGACGACGACATGGACGCCTGCGGGCAGATCTTCCCTGATTTGTGGTATCTTTGCTAAGTTAGGATCGCTACTGCATTTAGCGACGACAAATAAGTAAGGAGACGAATGAAGGCTCCAGTAATATCATGCAGTTTTCTACGACGAGTACATTTCCTCAGCGGATTTTATCAATGCTTCTAACCGCCAAACCGAACATGAGCTCGATGTGATCACCTCAGTGTCTACATGTACGCTGATGATGAGATTTGCACGAACGAATTTCAAATATGCAATATCATCTCTTTGAAATTCAATCAACCTGTAATATACATGTACTGCAATATCAGCACACACGTGCTCGGAAAGGTCCGCCTTGGCTCGGCTTTTACGAGGTTGACTGTGACTCCCACATTGGTATGTGAAGATGCCAGAATCTGGCTCAGATGGCAACGCCGCAAGTCTCCGCTTGCGGGCACATTCTGCTGACTTGCTGGTCGTAGTGTTGCTTTTCAAAAGTCAGAAACGGCATTTTTCTATGCATTACTTAAATCAAGTTTAACAACTGAATGCTTGGTGTGTGACACACGGCATAGAGCTGTAGCCGCCAGTCTCCATAGTCGTTTAGACAGCAGCACGAACTCCAGCTCAGGCGGGTCGCGCTAGCTGCTTCTAATCTGTCGATCTTCCATCAACGTCGCCTCGATGGTGCTCCGCCGCGCTCCTCCCAGCGAGGATGAGGGGTCGTCTTTCTCGTCTACATCCACCATGGACTCTGACTACGAGATTCCTGTTGCGCTGCAGCGACTGCATGTGTGGAGCAACGAGCGCGTATCTACCAAGGTCTCACAGGCACTCAATACTATGAATACAATTCGCGAAAGTGAGTCAATGCGCTTCAGCATGGTTACAGCCAACAAGTGGAAGAAAATGGGCTATCATCCTTACAAACCTGACGCGTCAGGTTACACAGCCCTCCACCGCGCTGCCAAACGCGGCGACGAGGCTGTCGTGGCCTCACTACTCGCCATGTATGACGGTAAAGCGATTGACTTGGCATCCATCCAGTCCTACAAGCAGCAGCAGATTGCGCTGCATATTGCAGCTAAGTACGGAAACCTCGAGGCCGCGCGACTGCTGGCCGAGCCAGAATTCCGAGAACTCGTCAACATGCCAGATCGCAATGGCAACACACCACTACACTTTGCCGCCACATGTTCAGCACCGTCAGCGTCGGATGTAGTGGCGCTACTACTGCTGCGAGGTGCGGACCCGACTATTAAGAGCAAGCGAGACGTCTTCCCGATTATCGCCCACGTTCTCACAGCACAGGACGATGACCCGGAGATTGTACAGTTACTGATGAAGAGCGGCAGCGACCCAAACACTATCGACGGGACTGGCAATACTGTGCTGCATATTGCTGTGTCACAGGGACTGTGGAAGGTCGCAGCGGCTCTCGTAAGAGAGCACGCGGGCATGACCATCCGTAATAACCAAGGTGTGATGGTTCTAGATATTCTATCGCCGCCACAACTGGCATGGCTGGCCAAGTTTATCATACACCCACCAGAGTGGGTACCCTACGAAACTCAACGCTCGTGTATGGTGTGCTCACGTAAGTTCGGACTTCTGGTTCGGCGCCACCACTGCCGACTATGCGGGCGCATTTGCTGCGGTCCGTGCTCCAAGTACAAGCGTCGTCTCCCCTTTACAGATATGTCCATCAAGCCGACAAGTAAGGGGCGCGACCAGATGATGAAGGTCTGCAGTACTTGCATTACCGTCCGTGAAGTCGTGAACGAGGACTTGTCGTGGAGAACCGCCACGGCAGATCGGTTGATTGCAAGCGACGCTGTTATCGACTATGATGATGATTTTTAGTGGAGAAAATCTTCGAATGAAGAAGATCGGGATTCATCGAACAGTGGAAGAATGATGCTCACGCGCGAGCGCTCTTCCTGTGTCGCTAATCTACAGTTCTCCACGGAAATTGGCTGTACCTTACCAAATTATCGGTGCATTTTCTGGTCTTGTTACCTTGAATGCACTATTCGAATAAATCGAAGTTAGTTTTACAACTCACTCAAGAGCTGTGGGCGACTGTGATCAGAATGTTTGCAGGTTTACCAGGTCGCTCACCTGCTTCACATAGAGTACAATCTCCTGTTTGCTCTCTGGCCGATGATACTGTAACCAATGCAAAGCATGCATCAACACGTCGATGCAGAAATGTCAGCGTTTTGACAGCGCTTTTACGATCTTGCTGCCATCTGGATTTGATGTTCGTATAGAGCGATGGACGGACTCAAGCTTCAGCCAGGAAACCAAGGAGTGTGCTTTTGTTTTTTTCTGTTATTAATCTTCCAGCGCTCGCCGGATTAACAGCACACTATAACCTCTCGCTTCTCCTTTTTTCTGGTCCGTTTATTGATGGCAGCTTGCAATCGTCTACGCCTGGTAGGCGCCGTGCGTGGGCAGCATCATCGGGCCTCCTTCTTTCATGCTAAACGCAAACAAATTGTTAGCACCCGTGTAACCTGTTGAGCAATTTATCCCGTCTCAACGCCAGCGTACCTCTTGAAGTAGTAGTAGAGGAAATCCGCCATCATCAACATGTGGCCTATCTGCACGAAGATAACCATGTAGCCGACGTGCTGACCGGCGTCCTTCTCGCCGAGCTCATGGTACGACGAGAACCAAAACACTAGGTGCAGGAAGCTACCGAACGCCAGAGCGTACACAAAGTGAGAAATACACGACTCCACAGCACCTCCGCCCTGTAAAATGATAGCAAAATAGGTAAGATACCGCACACCAAGCACGCAGAATAACTTCTTCAGCACGTACGCGCTTCTGGAACATAAACAGCTGCGGCAGGATGGCAACGGCCTCGATGTACAGCGCGATGGTCCAGGAAACGTCCGAAAACCAATTGCGGTTCAAGTTTGGGTGGATCAGCTATACAAGAACAAAATACCAAGTCAGTGAAAGCCCCATTTTGCCCGCTAGCAGCATAAACCTGCACAAAACTGCACGCACCATGCCGAACAAGATGCAGGGCAGCAAGATGTAGAGTGCGCCGAGTTCCGTAGGTACGTGCAGCCATCCAAACGTGTCGTAGCGCAGCTCATAGGTCGAGTTGAAGCGCGTAGTGACGAGGTAGATGACACCGCAGCAAAGCGTGAGAGCCACGATCTCAAGGAACGAGTAGAGCCAGTCGCCACTTCGGTCGTAGGGCAGGTAGCCCTGGTAGCGTAGGATGGAGCTTAAGCGGAAGAGGAACACGAACGCGTACAGCTCCAGCGTCTTAAGCGACAGACCGGCCACCGAGCGCTGCGAGAAAGCCTTAAAGATCAGGAAGGCGAAGCCGAAGGCGCGCACGAACGCGCCCATGGTCTGTAAAGAGTCATTTTAACATCCATCAACGGGTCAGCATACGCTCGAGGATGTTAAGTTTTAGCTCTAGGATGGTACCATAAGGAAGGAGAAGTCGCCATCGCTGAACAAGTGGTAGCAGAAGAACACGACCACCACGAACCCAGACCACAGAGCAATGTTGCTCTTGTGAGTCGTCAGGAAGGCGCTGAAAGGGGGAAAGAACAACCCGAATTAGGTACAGAATGTACATGAGATGGAAGTCCAGGTCCACGTACGCGCCGGTGGACTTGTCTTTGCTGTTCAGGTCCATCATGGTTGGCTACAAATTACTTTAGTTCGCGGGGGAGCCTCGCTTCAAAAGATAATGGCGACGTGGAATGCCTACAGGGCACCTTGGCGAAGATTTCCGGTCGTCCGACCGTAAATTCGAGTCTGGCCTGGGATTGGCCGAAAATACCAGATGGGAGATAAGAAAAGCGGAAACGGAGCAATCATTTCGAGACTCGTGGTGTTCACCACACCGATGAACACCACACTGCAAGATTGGCTTTGCCCATGAGTGGCGTCGAACAAGGACACGTAGGAGATTGCTGAAGCTGCACTACGCACTACTACAGTAGTATAACAGTACTGATAGAGCATCAAGAGGACTGCAGTTTGCACAAGTCCCTGTAGGGACTGAATTAGTGTTTTAAAGACTATAAGCTTTATGAGAAGTCAAATCCCTCATTAAAAAAATGCTCTCTACACATTTATCCGATAGTAAGTGGATTCAGTTAGAGCTAATATCTGTAGATCATTGGGACATCGTAACACTATAGTATTCTAGAAAAACTACGTACTACTACTAGCATAATTATTGTGAGCGCTCAGAATGAGTAGGAGAGATGATAAGAGTTAGTCATCACTTTCGACTGAATCATCGTAAATCAATTCCTCCTTGCGCACCACAAGCAACAAATACACAATTGATAAGTCGGAATGTCGAAATGCTGATTCTTCTGGAGGTGTTAGACCGCAAAACACGAGTCGGCACCTCCCAAAGTGCCCAGCGCTTCTGGCCGTCCCAAGGGACTTTCGCGTCGGGCTGATGGACCCAACATCCACAAGAGGGGCCTACTCTCGCCGCCGAGTACGTATGTACGGAAGACCCAGGCATCGCACGGAGGAATGCAACGTGAGTGGCAAATGGGGCAACTGATCGAATGGGACCTGACACGCAACAACACCCGCTGTTTCTCTGTCGACGAAGAAATGAAATGACAGAGTTTTGGAGGAGACACCACCAGCCTTCCGAGCAAAAAATGACTGGTAGCAAAAGGCCATGATAGTGATTGGCTGGAAAAGCGCAAAATAATTTGTACTCTCTGTAGTACACCCGTCCAAAAATCTAAATGTCGCGCGGTTCATGTACAGTACTGCACCCCGTTTTCGCGGGGGTGGACCATATAGGATTTGCAAATAAATCAAAGTAGCTAACAAACTTCAGTTCATTTGGATTCGGGATCATCATACTAGTATCCGGAAGTTTATCAAAGGTACGAGGGCGCGAAAACGGGGTGCAGTACTGTAGCTGTAGGAGGTGCAGTAGGATAGAGGAAGAGGTGTCAGCTGAAGTACATGTATCTAATGCTTGGCTATTGAATCGATCTACTTAAGTACCACTTAGTAATGTTGGCCTTATTACGGATTTAAGACAATAATAAAAGTCACCTGTCGAGCCACAATAATATTGTTCGCTGTTGCGCTCGCTTTTGTTTCAATAAGAGAACACTTGCCAAAACTCTTCACGCAGCGCTGCTGTACCGCTGATGGCTGGCTGGTTTGATGAGGCGTGGCAGCTGCACCGAGCTTGCTAAATCCTTGTGAGCACCGGACGGTAGCGGATTACAAGTCAAATCGTCGTGCAGTGGATGTGGTTCTTGCAAAGGCTGTTCTCTAAATAGGACTCAAGAGGTTGGCCTGACAAGGGCGTTGGCATTTTTACGCTGCAGCATGTTTTCAATTAGTTATTTCTCCTCAGTTTTTATGCGTTAACAATGTTACGTCTTGTCCCCGACTTGGAAACCTGTTTTCAACAATCACTGACATAAATACCAGTCTTCAATTAACCCTCTGCATATTTTATCAGACCGTCGCCTGTTACAGTATCGGTATTCACGAAATCGGACTAAGATCTTAGTCGTAATTTCCTTCGACGACAACTCGTCCATTCAGAACACTAGCAAGCATGTGAATGAAGGCTTCTGTGGGCGCATTGTGCTTTGCTGGATCTGAAACGCAGTGAATATTAAAACTATAATATAAATAGCCATGGAAGCTCGTTCAACCTTCCCGTTGGCGTGAAATTTCCGAAGCGTACAGTACGTTAAAGGCGCAGATATCATCCAATCAGATTGCGACCCTCGTGGATACGCACATGGCCAGATTGGGGCAGTCCTCAACTTTGCTGGCCGGAACCGAAGGCCGTTGCAGATCTTCATACAAAAAGCAAGACACAAGTAGCGATGAGCTACAGCGGAGGCGGAGGCGGCTACGGCGATCAGCGCGGCTACGGCTCGCGCGGTGGCGATCATGGCCGTGGATACGACGATCCGAACCGTCCAGCAAGTGGCGGCAGCGGTGGCGGAGGCTACGGCGACCAGCGCGGCTACGACCAGCGTGGGCAGCAAGGGTACGACCAGCGCGGGCAACATGGTTACGACCAACGTGGGCAGCAAGGCTATGATCAACGTGGAGGGTACGACCAGCGTGGGGGTTACGACTCCCGCGGCGGCGACTATGGCCGATCGTCGTCTGGGCACGATGACTACAGTCGTGGCGGTGGAGGGGGTTACGGCTCCGGGTCGAGGGGGTACGAAGGCAGCCGAGGAGATTACAGCTCCGGTGGTTACGATGATCGCAGCAGTCGAGGAGGCTCTTATGGCGGTGGAAGTGGCCACGGAGGCTCTGGGTACGACGACCGAGGAGGGTACGAAGGTTCCTCTTCTCATGGGGGGTACGGTGGCTCGTCGGGCTACGACAATCGAGGTGGATATGACCAGAGTCGAGGAGGCAGCAGCTACGGCAGTGGAAGTGGAAGTGGAGGCTATGATGATCGTTCTCGCGGGTATTCGGGTGGGGGTTACGATGATCGCTCACGTGGAGGGTACGCTGGGCGGGACGACCGTGGTTACCGAGACAGTGCCAGCTCAGGCGGACAGCAGGGAGATCGTGGTTACGGAGGTCGTGATGATCGTGACTATAGTGCAGGCGGCGACCGTGGAGGAGATCGCGGTTACGGCGGTGGCGGTGGCGGAGACCGGGGAGGAGACCGCGGAGGCGACCGGGGAGGCGACCGCGGAGGCGACCGGGGAGGCGACCGCGGAGGCGACCGGGGAGGAGACCGTGGCTATGGGCGTCGTGACGATCGTGGGGGCGGTGACCGCCGTGGTGGAGACCGAGGGGGAGACCGAGGAGGAGACCGTGGATACGGTGGTGGTCGTGGCGGGGGCCGCTTTGGAGGAGGAGGAGGTCGCGGCGGAGGTCGTGGCGAGTCTGGGCCTGGTGTTGGTACAGTGACTGGCTCTGGCTACGAGAGTATTGGCGACCCTGTGTTCCGACCCGCGCCTTCAGGACGAATGGACTGGCCGTGCTGGAGTGCGTGATGTGAGCGCGGAAGACCCAGATCTCCAGCAAGAATTCCTCATTTGTCGTCGTCCGGGTCTTGGTCGAGGTGGCAAGTCTGTGCAGATGCAGGTGAACTACTTCGGTGTGTCGCTGGACTCAGCGCCGCCGGAGATCATCAAGTACCACGTGGACGTGGAGCGCTCGCCCGATCTTGCTGCAGACTCCAAGTATGGTCCTTCTGGGGCTGATCAGAAGGATGAAATAATGGGTGACGAGCCTAAACAGGAAGGCAAGGACGAGAAGGAAGACAAAGAGGACAAGGACGTGGAGATGAGCGACGTCTCGGCGCCTCCCAAGCGAGAACGACGTCCGGAACGACCGCTTCCTCGCTCTTTGGTGCGAAACGTGATCAATGCAGCTCTCCGACAGTACGAAGCCGAGTTTGGAGGCGTCCGCGTGGTTCACGACGGTATGTCGGCCATGTACGCGCCTGCTGTGCTGCCGTGGGAGTCGCACTCCAAGACATTTGTCGATGTGAACCCGGATGGCCCCAGCCCGACGCCCCCGCCGCCTCCTCCTGCTGCTGCTGGTGACGCGCCTCGTCGTCCATTCCGCGGCCCTCGTACGTTCGTCGTGAAGATCAAGATGGCTGAAACGATCTCGACCACCTCGCTCCAAGATTATTACTCGAACCCGGATGTAAACGTCATGCCAGTTCTTCAGGCGTTGGACGTGGCCGCGCGTCATTTGGGCGCTCAGCGGTTGATCACGGTGGGTCGCAATTTCTTTTCCATGAAGAAGACGTTCCCTCTCAAAGGAGGCAAAGAGTTGTGCTGGGGTTATCACCAAGCTATCCGCGTTGCAGACCGCAAGCTGCTCATGAATGTGGACCAGGCAGCCACTGTGTTCTACGCTCCGAAAGAACTGATGGAGCTGGTGCTTCCTGCGTTGAATGCGCGCTCTGCTAACGACATCCGAGCGCTGTCGGATCGAGATGCTCGGAACCTGGCGCGTGCGTTGCGCAAAATTGAAGTTGTACCGACCCATCGCAAGGATCGCAAGCGTGCCATCTTCGGTATCAGTGCGCAGCCAGCCAACCAAACCATCCAAAGCATCAAGGGGGAGAGTATGTCGGTGGCGGATTATTTCAACAAGCGGTACAACATCAACTTGAGGTATCCGCACCTGCCGCTGGTGAATGTGGGTAGTAAGCGACCAGGTAAAGAGAACTGGTTGCCGATTGAACTGTGCGAAGTGGCGCCGGGACAACGCTGTGCGAATATCAACGAGCTGGACACGGCGGAGATCATTCGACAGACCAGTCAACCCCCGCGTGCTCGCCAGGAAACGATCATTGACCAGGTGCGTCAGGCTGGCTTTGAGAACGACCCGTATCTTGCTGCGTTCGGTATGAAGGTGGAGCAGCGTCTGGAAGCGACGGAAGCTCGTGTGATGGACCCACCGGATGTGCAGTATGCGAATGTGTCCGAGAGACCGTCGGGTGGCCAGTGGAATCTGAGAGACAAGCGCTTTGTGGAGGGAGCAACGATGCGCAACTGGGGAGTCGTTATCAGTGCCAATGTTGGGGAACGTGACGTCCAGGGCTTTATCCGCAACTTGGTGGATATGGCTGGCAAGAGCGGACTGACGATCGAGGACAGCTCCCCGCACATGGTTCACATGGATCAGTATCGTGGCGCCCAGGTCGAGGAGCTCATGAAGATGTGCTTTAAGGAGCTGGAAGCTCGCAACAGAGGTCCCCCGCAGCTCATTATGGTGATTAAACAAGACAAGAGCGTTGGATCGTACAGTGACATCAAGCGGATGTCCGACACGGTGTTGGGAATTCCCAGTCAGTGCATTGTGTCCCAGAACGTCCGCAGTGCTAAGCCTCAGTACTGTGCTAACGTCTGTTTGAAGATCAACATGAAGCTGAGCGGAAAGAACTCGATCCTGCGCGAGCCACTGCCGCTAGTGAGCACTGCGCCTACGATCATTATTGGTGCCGATGTGGAGCACCCTCGCTCGGGTATGGGCTCACGTCCGTCAATTGCTTCGGTGGTTGCCTCGCTGGATCGCTACTCGGCAAAGTACGTCGCTCGTGTGGCTGCACAGAAGGCTTCCAGCGACATCCAGCTCTTGCCGCACATGCTTCGTGATCTCTTCTTGGCATACTACCAAAGTACCAACCGTAAACCGGAGCACGTCATCTATTACCGTGATGGTGTGAGCGAAGGTCAGTACTACGATATCTTGCAGACGGAGATGCGCGCGCTTCGCAAGGCTTTTAAGATGATCTCGGACGGCTACAACCCGCCAGTTACCTTTATCATCGTTAACAAGCGCCACCACATGCGCGCGTTCCCAAATAACCCGCGTGACGCTGATCGCAAGGGCAATGTGGTTCCTGGCACTGTGATCGACACTGGAATTGTGGATTCGCACCGGTTCGACTTCTTCTTGTACGGCCACAGCGGCATCCAGGGCACGAGTGTCCCGTGCCACTACACGGTGCTGCACGACGAGAACAAGATGTCAGCGGAAGACGTGCAGAGACTCACGTACCATCTCGGGTACACGTTTGCCCGATGCACTCGCTCCGTGTCATTCGCCACACCCGCGTACTACGCGCACTTGGCTGCCGGTCGTGCGCGTTTCTTCTTGAATGAAGGATCGGACGGTGCTTCCACCGTGGGCTCGTTTAACTCGAGTTCGTCAAACTTCGACTTCACGGAGCTGCACAATGACCTCAAGAATTGCATGTTTTTCATCTAATCTGTGGCTGGAGAAGGATGTCACCGGCTGGAGCAACAATGACGCAGATCGCACAGCGGACATCGATTGAACTGCTACACAGGTTGGCATTGATGTGAGGCGAGAAAAGTATTGGCGACAAAGATTGAACTCGCGCCACCTAACTCAAGATTTCTATGAATAATGACAAGGTTTCAAAGAATAATGACAAGATTTCGATGAATAATGACTGAAAAAGGGGTCCAGCGCGTGGTCTTTCCTCGACAATTTTGAATGGGGGAGCTATAAGCCTCGCTTTGGGATGTACTACGTCAACTGGACGAGTGAGACTGGCTCACCGGACTTCAACAACCCCAAGCCAACGGATCTGGCGCGCATTCCTCGCCCATCCGCCAAGTGGTTCCACCAACTCTCCACGACGAGATGCTTGGACGATAACAGCGTCTTCGCAATCGAAGCTTTTGAGGAGCCCACCAAGGATTTGACGAAGTTGTTTGGAGCTCCACTGGTGTGGTGGCAGTCGTTGTCATGGTCGGTATCGCGACGCAGAAGCGCCGACAGGGCTATGAACGCATTCCTCTTAGTTCAGCGAAGAACTGATTAAGTCAATGCATGGTGCACAAGCAACAGATTATCCAACTTGAGTGTGAGTCACGGAGTTACCGGTAGCACCTCCTTGTGGTTATCAAAAAAAAAAGCATTTTGGTGTAGAAAACGAGTAGCAATTACTACATGTACTATGGTCCAGGTAGAAGCTGCTGCTTGCAGCGTAAGTACCCGCCTACAGCAAAGGGGTCCCTTCAGTCGCAGCACCATCGTGACCACGGAAGTGACGCCAAATGCGACGTCCAACGAAGAACACCAGCACAACCACCACCGCGAAACCCACCGCTGCAATCGCCACGATGCCGAACAGCCAGCGCCACACGTGGTGACTGTGACCAGCACTCTCGGGTGTCTCGACTGTAGTTGCTGATGACTAGCCGAGCGCCGCCGCTACGCGGCGGTAATTTGGGTTTTACTCCAGATTTTTGCCATATGTACGTAAATCGACTTCTTTAGTTTCATAAATCTGCGTTTCATTTGCTACAAAATGCTGAGTTCCCAGTAAGCCGTGTAAATATTTCTACCGGTACAAAAGAGTGAGCCCCTAGCATCATACTTACCATGCTCATAAACGATTACGCTAGTGATCTTGGCAAAGTCTCTTTATTGTTGTTGGCTATCACTGTACCTTCATCTTCCACCCAGAAGCACCTGCACTTCAGTCTAAAACCGCTAAATAAAATATTTAGTTTAGCGTCGTGCTCGATTTCACGGGCCGTTTCTGAAACCTAGATTGCATCAATGCAAAGAATATCTGTCCAGCTTGCATCAAATACCCGCTTGTACTGCCTGGTTAAGCTTGTAATAAACTGCCTATTAACCACTTCGCAAACCAAACTCGCTACTTTGAAAGAAAATTAAAAGTGTTACAGTTTGAATATTTAATAAAAATATTCAAGCTGTAGCATTTTTTTATGCCTTGAAGTGTGTTCATTTTGTGCTGATTCAGAATTAGTCATTAGACACTCAATCTGTGCCTGTTATGCTTATAGCCTTTGAATATAACCATGCGTCGCAAGACGCCTTGCTGTTGTTGTTGTTGACGGCGGTATTTTTATTTGATACTTAATTGATGATTCCAAAATATTAGGCTCTAAGTTGATTAACGTTTCTTTACGGGCCTTCTTATAATAACCAAAATTGACACCTCTCATGTTGTGCTGTTATCTTACCACTGCATATAAAACCTTATTTTACGCCCTTGTCGGCAACGCGTCTACCTATTAAGAAGTATCAGAATTTTGTTGTCTAAAAAAACGCTAAGGAAACAATGGTCAAGTTCAATTCGCTTACAGTAGTAATTGTCATCAGCACATATAACTTCTTTTTGTTCACACGTCAATCTAACACTATATATCTTTGTGGATCAAGTGACAACGTTTATAAGCACAGTTTTGTTCTTACGGCCAGTCTACACGACCGGCTACTGCTGTACATGTAACATGTACGATTTAGCAATACCAGAAACCCACTCAGATAACTTATTAATGCTAATATTTTTGCAGTAAGAAAAATGAAATTTCATTTTAGTCAGTGTAACACACAGATCCTACTGAGTACAGAGTATTTAGTATACTTAAACCATGTCCTCGGAAACACGCATGCTTACGTGTACGCTAAGCACCCTACTCTCCGTTTACGGTAGTATTCAAATATCAATAACAACATGCATTATGAAAAAGTATTTAATATTAAACGATGCCGCCTTCGGACTTTGTGCAAATCCCCATATGTAAACTGGGAAACACATGCATTTATTGATGTCAACTACACATTCTAGTTTTAACCAATTGAAGCCACCTTCGCTGCGCTCGGCAGCCAGTAGGAATATTTAAATTATTTTATCCAATGATTTGTCCGGAAAAGCGTGACAGGCACGACAATTTAGTGTGACGGACAGACAGGTTGCTGCAGTAGATGTTTAAGACTAGCGCTCTGGGCGCCCGCTCCGCGGACGCTAGGGCATTATTGGTTGGTGTAGAGAGGGCCGACCACCTCCGCTGCGCTGCGGTGGTCTTAGAATTTCTACTCAAAGCGAAGCAACATATAGTACATGTATACTGTGATCTACGTATATTATGCTCCAAAACAGCACCGCACACAGTATCCGTAGTGCTCACATTTTATTGTAGACATGACCAGGGTTTAACGTGATCTGCAAGAAGAGCACCGTCTTACCCGGGAAGTTTTTGTCTATAATCTCGTTTGAGCGCATTGCTCCCAAAATGACACGAATCGGAGGCGCGCGTGGTTGCAAAGCTAATATATACTGTACGGAAGACGGGTCAGTATCAATGATGCTACGAAATATACGTTGATCGGTGAGGAATCCCAGTGTAGCTAGAGTAAGTACGCCTATCAAACGTATTTTACCCATCTGCACGTCATCGCCGTGAGGCAGTCGACACATATCACCGATTGCGACGGTCGAATAGAGCAATGTTAATCAGCTCCGCGCGCGAAGTATCTTTTAGGATAGGTAGTATATGCCGATGGTCGCCACAAACATCAATATTATGCTTTGAAATTATTCTGCTGAGCTGTTTGTGATGTAACTGAAGGGTATTTCCACTATCTTCCGCATGCATTTATCTTACTTGCAAAGCTGACGTACTTTCTGACTTATTTGTATAGCTTCTGACTGACAGAGTGGCGTAAATCCTTTCCGACTGACATTATACTGGGTCCGATATGTACGACAAAAGGCCTCGTCCACATCGGACGAAGAGGCACCACTGCGTGCACATTCTTTTGACCGGCTGCAACATACGAAGATATATGGCTGTAGGCAGAGTATCAGATCGTAGTGATGGTTAGACTTGAATTGAATAATAGTTCATGTACATTAGATGGAGTACTTTCGCTGCCTACTTATCAGCTCGGCGTGCTATTTGATGTGTCCGTGCATATCCCGCAATGCCGCCAATGGGTGTTGTCGTGATAGCCAACACCCATGCACTGGGTTACTGCTGCGATCTCGGTACTTTTGTATCGTCGTGCTAGCCTACTGTACCTACGATTATGATGTATCCGTCTATATGATCCAGCACGTCACTATTCGGGCACAGGTCATACCCGCGGTGATACAGGCAAGCTGATCAGGCGTCTGTTAGCAGTATTCAAAGCAATATATACGCGCGCGGCGGGTACACATTATAGCCATCCGTGACTCAACCGAGCTCTTATCTCGGCCATTATGGACAGGGCGACAAAGTAAAGTACTGCGTACAGACACAGCTCCTTGCGATGGCCGCTTGTATGGTCATCACTACCGCATACGTGGTTGTGTCCATGTAGACAGCAGCTTATTCATCGCGCATAGTGCTCACTCGATACTGAAGCTTACATTCGTGAGCGCACATTAGTGAAATATAAACTGTGAGGGTTGGTGGTACATATAGCATGGGTTTGCGTGTGCCAAGTGAGCAAGTGTACTTTCCATCTACGGTAACGCGTATGCAGATAGGAACGGCCAGCTCGCAAGGCTACACAGTAGACACCATGCGCTAATTATTATATGAAACGCGCTACACTCCGTAGATGCGTCAACACAATTGGCAGCACCACAGTTAGTTTACCATATGTGCGGCCCCAAGCCTCGCGCCGCCCGCCAGTATACAAAATACAAAGATAAGCGGGGTAACGGGGGCAATAAGGATATATTATCCAAATTACTTGCTCTTCTGCTGCTTCTTTTGCTTGATGTAATTGGCGTTTCGGGCGGTCAGCCTGCGAGGGCGGCTGCGCCTCTTTTTCTTCTTGGGGTACCAGTCAGGACCCATCGCCTTCTTGACGTTCGCCAGGCTTTCCTGGCGGCGCACTTCGGCCGAATCAGGTGGTGGGGGCTTTTCCTCCCAAAACTCAACCGCTTTTTGGGCCGTTCTCGCAGGCAATACAGCGCCGCACGATGTCCCGCCCGCTGATTGTACGGAACGCGTAACCGCACTGCAGCTTCCCGCAGCCGACGCAGCGCGCCCGTGCATCCGTCGTAGACCGCTGCGGGTTCAGCAGAAGCGGGTCAATCTTCGCCTCGCATTGCTTGCACACAGGGCCCACCATTTTGCAAACTGTGAGTAAGTTAGCAAAACTTATTTGCGTCCAAACATTAGCCAATAGCACGGTACTGGAAGACTGGTATTTATCATTAGGCAAAATATTAAAATGTTTTAAAATAGTATTATTTGGTCTTGCTATAATAGTACTTTTATCATAATTTTAAACAAATACATACTTTACATGAAATAAAAGTGACTAAAAGACTATGTACTGGCGCGCATGCATTCGTCGAGTGCGGTGCACGGGAGCAGATACCGCAGTGACCGTGCAGCCGCGCGCCTTCATTGCACGGTGGCAGTGGTGAGTGTCAGTGAAGTAAAAAAGATATATATCCCTACAAAAAGCGCTGGTCGTGAAGCCTACTTTAATATTAAAAATACTATCGTTTCTACTTTAGAAAGTGTGTGGAAAATAGCATCGCCGAGCTCTTACAAATGCGGCCTGTGAAGCTTATTTTAATAATACTATTAATATCGTCTTTACTTTGAAAAGTGTGTGGAAAATAACATCCCAGAGCTTTTACAAAATACTGGTCTGTGAAGTCTACATTAATAATAATAAAAATCTCTATTTGAGAAGTGTGCAGATTACTGTGCCCGATTTGCAGTACATACGATAGGTTTTGCGTCGCTGAATGCAATAATCAAGTATCTCCTGGCTGTTTGCATCCAATCGATGTGTTTCGTGCTCGGCAAAACTGTTTAACTTACGTCCAATCGCGAGGGCGAGAGGCGGTCTGATCGTGCGACAGATCCAGTCAGTGTCGCAGGTCGGCAGGTATTGCCCAATCAGGGCGCGAGTTAATTGTGTCACGCTTTTGGACATATTTGTAATTTATGCATTGCTAGGTCGAGTCAGAAAGATAGGCGCGGTCGGTAGGATGGGAGAAAACTGTATAAGACAGGCTAAGTGTAGCCATGCGAAAAGGCAGGAAAAAGCAGCAAGAAAGGAACCGGACGGACTTATTGACAGACGGACGGACAGGCTGCAAGTTTAGGGAGCGGGAAATTCGTCCACATTCAGACACTTGGAGCTCGCCACCTTCTGGAACCACTTGGCCGACGGACGAGGAATACGAGCCAGATCAGATGGCTTGGGCTCGTAGAAGTCAGGAGATCCTGACTCGGACGTGTAGTTGACGTAGTACAGACCGAAACGTGACTCGTACGACCCCCACTCGTAGTTGTCGAGGAAAGACCAGGCTGTGTATCCGATAACGGGGATATGTTCTTCCGTGATCGCCTTGTGCACTTGCTCCAAATAGGCCTGGAAGTACCATAGTTGATCGGGGTTGTCAATCTCATCGTCCCCGCACCATCCGTTCTCGGTCAGTAGGATGTCGGTGGATGTGTCATGTTTGTGCAGCCACTTGATGGTCTCAAGGTAACCAGGAGGGTACGCAGTGAAGAAAGCGCAGTGCGGGTCTTGTTGAGCCTTCTTGCTGCGTTGCCTAGTGCCTGGGATAATGTGGCTGTCGTCGATTCCTCGGTCTTGCTCAGAGCCAGCAGATAGGGTCTTGCAATCTATGTTGGACGTCTTCGAACTGCAGCTTGTCACTTGGCGTGACGCATAGCTGTTAAGCATGAAGAGGTCGTACGAGCCTTTCACCAGGTCCGATTGATCTCCATAAAACTGAGGTAGTCGGTCACCGACAATCTCTCTCATGACAGGCGGGTAGTCTCCTGTTACAATGGAGGAGAGGAACCAGCCCACATCGAACTCCATGTTGCGAGCAGCAGCCTCTACATCATCGGGATTCGACTCGTCCAGAGGGTACGCGTAGTTGGCATCTAACACGATACTGATCCTCGCCTTGTCTCCAATGACATTGGCAGTTTTCAACTCGCGGAACTTCTTAACAGCTTGAGCGTGAGATAGCAACACGTTGTGAGCCGCTGTGTACGCCTGAGTGAGTGAGCCTGTGTACCCTGGTGCTCCCATGCCTAACGCGTACCCTCCAGCAACGAACGACAAAGGTTCATTGAACGTCGTCCAGTAGTCCACTTTGCTACCATACTCGTTAAGGTTGCATACTCGACGTAATGATCGATGATCTCTGACCCCAGCCAACCTTCTTCGCGTAGCTCAGTGTGGAGCTCAATAGGCAAATCCCAGTGGTAAATGGTCAGGATAGGCACAATTCCGTTGGCGCTTAGCTCGTCGATCAGTGCGTGGTAGAAGGCGATACCCTCGGGGTTTGGGCGCATACGATACGTCTTCGAGTCCCAGTTCATTGCGCGAGACCAAGAGACAGAGAACCGGAAACTTTGTAGACCCGTTTCAACCATCAACTTGACGTCGTCTTTGAAGCGATGGTAGAAGTCGTCGGCCACATTGGCGCACTTAAGACCTGATTGAGTACGACAATACTCGTCCCAGATGCCCTTCCTTCACGGCACCTTCGACTTGGTACGAAGCGGTGGCCGACCCGAACAGAAAATCCTTAGGGAAGCAGTGAGACTCGGGAGATACCAGCACAGCAGAAGCTGCGAGCCCCAGAAACTGGAGCACCCCAAAGGCCATACGCATTGTCTTCGACGCGAGCGAATCGGATAATGACGATGGTGGTCATTCAAGGCTCATTTACTCTTGAGAAAGAATATCTTCAAGTTCTTCAAATCATTTCGTTTCACTTGGATAAAGTAAGAGTAGTTGAAGTTGGCATTTTCAAAATATAATAGATTAAACTATTGTACGCAAGCGATTGAAACTAGCTGAGGTCATCGTGCAACGTCACTTCATTTCCCAACTTGAAGGTGTCAAAACTTCAACGCACGCAGGCCACACATCATTGTTGCGAGAGAGGGATCTTGGACGGACGCCATTCATTGCTGGACATCCCAACAACTTGCAAGAGCTCACCTTGTTTTGACCAGTATGCATCGACTTCTGCAGCTTGTGGGGAGTGTGGCAGCAGTGCTGCTGGCTACGACGACTTCTGTCACCGCTGGTGACTCGCGCTGCTTCCCCGAAGACTTTCTCTTTGGATCTGCCACTGCGTCGTACCAGGTCGAAGGCGCAGTGAAGGAAGGCGGCCGCACACCGAGTATCTGGGACCAATTCTGTCGTGAACGACCAGAGGTCAAATGTGCCAACGTGGCCGACGACTTCTACCATCGTTACAAGGACGACATCCAATTGATGGCAAAAACGGGGCTGCAGAGCTTCCGCTTCTCCATCTCATGGTCGCGGGTCATGAACTGGGACTCGGCGTTGCATGGCATGCGCCCGAACCCCGAGGGTATCGCGTTCTACCACTCGCTAATCGATGAGCTGAACAAGAACAACATCAAGCCCATTTTGACGCTCTATCACTGGGACTTACCGCTGGAGCTGCATACAGAGCTGTCTCCTCAAGGTTGGCTCAACTCGGACATCGTCCAGCACTTTGCGGAGTACGCGATGCTCATGTTCCATGAATACGGAAGCAAAGTGAATCTCTGGACCACATTCAATGAGCCCCTGTCATTCACGACAGCCGGCTACGCTACCGGTAGAGAGGCCCCGGGGCTCACCGGCTCACCGACTCAGGTGTACGCTGCCACACACAACGTGTTGCTCTCTCATGCGAGAGCGGTCCAGCTATTCCGCGAGCTAAAGAAGTCTCATGTTATTAGTGAAAAGGCTCAAGTTGCTATTGTGCTGAATGCTGACTACGCGTATCCTCTGGATGAGTCGAATCCGGCTGACGTGGAGGCTGCTTCGCGTAAAATGGAGTTCGACGTGGGCTGGTTCCTCTCTCCGATTGTTAGTGGAGACTACCCGTCCGTCATGCGTGAGATCGTGGGCGACCGCCTCCCGCGTTTCTCACGTGACGAGACTGCGTTGTTGAAGGGATCATACGATCTCTTTATGCTCAATCACTATTCAACACGTGCAGCTACGGACTGCGACTCGAGTGCGTCACAAACTGACTGCAATAAGCTTGCAATCGGCTGGCAGCGTGACCGTGGCGTTGACATCTCTCAGACAGTTCCAGGAACCAGACCACGCAGTGAAAAGGCTCTCAAAGACTCTCACTGCGCGTCGTTCACTGCGTACCCTCCTGGTTACCTTGAGACCATCAAGTGGCTGCACAAACATGACACATCCGCCGACATCCTACTGACCGAGAACGGATGGTGCGGGGACGATGAGATCGACAACCCCGATCAACTATGGTACTTCCAGGCCTATTTGGAGCAAGTGCACAAGGCGATCACGGAAGAACATATCCCCGTTATCGGATACACAGCCTGGTCTTTCCTCGACAACTACGAGTGGGGGTCGTACGAGTCACGTTTCGGTCTGTACTACGTCAACTACACGTCCGAATCAGGATCTCCTGACTTTTACGAGCCCAAGCCATCTGATCTGGCTCGTATTCCTCGTCCGTCGGCCAAGTGGTTCCAGAAGGTGGCGAGCTCCAAGTGTCTGAATGTGGACGAATCGTCAGCAACTACAGTCGAGACACCCGAGAGTGCTGGTCACAGTCACCACGTGTGGCGCTGGCTGTTCAGCATCGTGGCGATCGCAGCGGTGGGTTTCGCGGTGGTGGTTGTGCTGGTGTTCTTCGTTGGACGTCGCATTTGGCGTCACTTCCGTGGTCACGATGGTGCTGCGGCTGAAGGGACCCCTTTGCTGTAGGCGGATACTTACGCTGCAAGCAGCAGCTTCTACCTGGACCATAGTACATGTAGTAATTGCTGCTCGCTTTCTACACCAAAATGCTTTTTTTTTTGATAACCAAAAGGAGGTGCTACCGGTAACTCCGTGACTCACACTCAAGTTGGATAATCTGTTGCTTGTGCACCATGCATTGACTTAATCAGTTCTCCGCTGAACTAAGAGGAATGCGTCCATAGCCCTGTCGGCGCTTCTGCGTCGCGATACCGACCATGACAACGACTGCCACCACCCCAAGCGTCACCAGTGGAGCTCCAAACAACTTCGTCAAATCCTTGGTGGGCTCCTCAAAAGCTTCGATTGCGAAGACGCTGTTATCGTCCAAGCATCTCGTCGTGGAGAGTTGGTGGAACCACTTGGCGGATGGGCGAGGAATGCGCGCCAGATCCGTTGGCTTGGGGTTGTTGAAGTCCGGTGAGCCAGTCTCACTCGTCCAGTTGACGTAGTACATCCCAAAGCGAGGCTTATAGCTCCCCCATTCAAAATTGTCGAGAAAAGACCACGCCGTGTACCCGATGACTGGGATCTTCTCCTCCACGACAGCCTTATACACTTGACCCACGAATTGCTCAAAGAAATGAACTTGGTCATAGTTTTCCACTTCGCCATTCCCGCACCAGCCGTTCTCAGTCAGCAAAATGTCGACGGTCGGGTCTTGGGAGTGCACGTAGCGGATCATATCGAGATATCCCGGCGGGTACGGCGTGAACAAGTTGGCACAATAATTGTTGCCAAAGCGATCTGGTTTCGGACGCAGTGTCCCCGGCATGACGTGCGTGTCATCCACGCCTTTATCCGCCTGCCAGCCAGGAGCAAGCGAAGCGCAATCGACAGTCGACGTCGGTGAGTCACAGTCCGTCACTGCTTGAGACGAGTAGTGGTTGAGTTGGAACATGTCGTAGGATCCATTGAGAAGTGCCGATTCTTCGGCTGTAAAGCGAGGTAGACGGTCTCCAGCAATCTCACGCATGACAGCAGGGTAGTCTCCTGTCAGGATCGGTTGCAGGAACCAGCCGAAGTCGAAATCCAACGCGCGTTGAGCAGCAAGGACATCTCTACGCTTGGTTGGGTCTAGTGGATAAAAGAAGCTGGAGACGAGCACGATGCTAATACGGGCACTCGAATCAACCACACCGGAGTCTCTTAACTCCCGGAACTTCTTCACAGCCTTGGCATGACACATCAACACGCCGTACGACACCTCGTAAGCTTCGGTGGGGGAGCCTCTGTGTGCGGGAGGCATGTTAGGAAAGCCCATTCCATAGCCGTACCCCACCAATCCGAGTGGCTCGTTGAAGGTCGTCCAGAACTTCACCTTCTTGCCAAACTCATTGAACATGAGCGTGGCGTAGTCTTCAAAGTGAGTAGAAATGTCAGGGTTCAGCCACGCTTGTGGGTCGAGTTCGTCTTGCAGGGCCAGCGGCAGATCGTAGTGGTGCAGTGTTAGGATAGGAGTGATATGATTCGCATTCAATTCATCAATCAGTGAGTGGTAGAACGCGAGACCTGGTGGGTTGGGGCGCATCCGGCGCGTTTGTGGGTCCCAAGTCATGGCACGAGACCAGGAGGTGGAGAACCGGAAAGACTGCAAACCGGTTTCGACCATGAGCTTGACATCGTCACGGTAGCGGTGGAAAAAGTCATCGGCGACGTTTGCACACTCGATTCCAGGCGTCTCGCGGCAGTAGGCATCGTAGATGCTCGGCGTGCGGCCGGATTCGTTCCAGGCACCTTCGACTTGATACGCTGCCGTAGCCGAACCGAACATGAATTCATCGGGGAAGCAGCGAGATTCTGCGGCTACGCTCGAAAGCAGCAGCGCGGAGAGGACGCCGGCCAAACGAATACCTTGGTCCAGGAATCGCATGCTCAGCGAATCTAAAAGTGAGCAGAACCATTGACAGATTGACCGATTATGACATCAATGATCTGTGGATGCACAGACGCCGCGTCTGACGCGTGCCCCGTTGAAGTTTGCATGAGCTGCAAAGATACTTGAGCAGAAATCTCAGTCTTTTTTACAGAGATACAGGTATTAAAGTGCTGCGACTCGCTTCGAGTATCTACAGCAGGGCAACGTTGCCTATACAGAAATCTGCCTGAATAAGGAACGGGGTTTCAACTAATAACCTCGCATTTTTATATTCGGGAAAGATTTAGGGAGATGGGATAGTGATGGGCAAGGTACTGACAAAACAATCCAGGCACTGACATTGATTTCAATTTAAAAAATGGCGCGCAGTAGGTGGCCTACGAGCCGAGCTTCATTCCTACACTTACATTCAACCTCACTAGCCGACTGCGTCCTCAGCACCCCCATTTCCTCCAATCGTCTCCGCCTCACCTGGTCCGAGAAGGTAGCCATCCTCGAGAAGGCTGCTCGCTCACCTAATCTGTCGTATAATGAGCTAGCTGAGTGGATCGCCTAGGCGAAGGCCCTCGGCAACCCGTACAGCGTCGACCAGCTAGCTGTACTGCTCTGGTGCGATGCTGCATTGTCTAAAGCTAGCGCTTCCACGATTCAGCACTGCTGGAATCACTCTGGTCTCATTCAAAAGTCATATCTTCAATTTATCCTAACTCAATTCAATATATGCACATGATCCGATATCATAGTCTATTTTTAGCAAGGCATTGTCAGCTTATGCAATCTCTTTCTTAATTTATATCAGGCGTTCCTTATTCAGGCAGATTTCTGTAATAAAAACAGAGCTGTTGTACACCTCGCCAGGCATTCCGATAATACAATTGCAATCATATTGAAGGTCCATGCCAAAATAAGCTATTGCTACAAAAACTAAAGCTTAAGAAATAAATAATTGACATCAATAGTAGTGTATTGGAAAATTAACTACTTAGATGTTTGGCACTGCACATTACTTTGCGTTCACGATAGCTGCTACAGTGTTTGCGTCCCAGAAACGCCGATTCATCTTCAGGAACAACACGGTTTCAAGGTGAATAGGCAGCATACGCTGGCGATGGTGGAAAAGAGTATGTTTCGCCACACTAAAAAGACGCTCCACGGTGTTTGACGTCGGCGGGATGAAAAGCACACCATCAAATATCTTCTTTGCACCGCGCCGCTTTTTTTCTAGTCGCCAAGACTCTGTCGGCAAAGCCCTGTGGGCGTCCGTGCCTTGTGTCCGGTGTCGTAATTGCAGGTACCGTCTCAAATGGCTGCAACATCAGCTCCTGGTCGTTCGTCAGCTCGTCCACGGCGCCTGACAGGGCTACAACGCACGCTCGCTCGAAGTCCACGTATTTGCGTCGGCAGCAAGATACTTTTTACAACGGAATGCTTCTCGATGAGCGCATCAAAGATATCGCGCACATCGAGAAGCGTTACGTTGTCGTCTTGAAGCTTCATGGTGGCCGACTGGAAGTCGCCAAGCTGGCAGTAAAAAAGTAGCTGCAGACTTGCTTGGTCGTGAAGGTGTTGGCGAGAGCCATGGTGAGATCAAAAATGATAGACGAGCGCCTCAGGTTCGCGTTTTGAGCGACCGTTGCTAACAGCCATTCGATTCTGTCTGGAGACCGAGCTCCGTATTTACGCAAAACAAAGCAGAAAAAACTAGATTTTACGAAAAAATAAAGTACTTTGCTGTAAATACAAAATAACTAATTGGACAAAGTCATCCAATTTGTAAAAATCAATAATTAAGTGTAAACTATTGTATTGAAGCAGCAATACAATGATTATTTCGGAATGCCTGCACCTCGCCAACAAGTTTGACTTATTAAAACGTCGTATTAGTTCACGGAAATTATCGTGTTCCTCCATTGCTCTACGTACGCATCTGACACAACACCCAATGCAATGCTTCAAACGGCGCTACTACAAAGAACTGGAAGAAGCAGGTATCGAGGTCCGCGTTAGCTGGATACGGCTTGAGGTAAGCGTTGGTATCCGAGGCGGCGCTTGAACGTGACCACAGCAGCAATAAGAGCCATCGCCGCGATGACAATAACGGGAGCCGAGAAGCCGAGGTGTTCCGCCGGGTGGGCAATGGAGCTGCCCGCAGAAAGCTCGAGTTCATCCCAGCCGTCCAGACATTTGGTGGTGGCGACCTTGTGGAACCACTTAGCCGCTGGACGAGGAACACGCTCCAGATCTGTCGATTTTGGCTTGTCGAAGTTTGGCGAGCCAGTCTCTTTAGTAAAGTTGACATAGTAGAGTCCGAAGCGCGGGCCATAGGAGCCCCACTCGTAGTTGTCCAGGAACGACCATGCCGTGTAGCCGACGACGGGGATTTTCTCCTCCACGACGGCCTTATGTACCTGTTCGACGAACGCCTTATAGTAACGGAGTTGGTCCCAATTCTCCACTTCCTCATTTCCACACCATCCGTTTTCCGTCAATAGGATGTCGACGGTCGGGTCATGCGAGTGCCGGTACCGGATCATGTCCAGGTATCCGGGCGGGTAGCCTGTGTAGCGGCCGCAGTAGTTGTTACCGAACTTATCCGGGCGAGGTTGCATTGTTCCTGACATCATGTGGTCTTCGTCGACGCCCTTGTCAGCTTCCCAACCGACGGTAAGTGACGAGCACGGCGTCAGAGAAGCCTCCGAGTCGCAGTCCGTGACTACCTTGGAGTAATAGTGGTTCATCATCAGGATATCGTACGAGCCCTTGAGTAGTGCAGACTCCTCCTCGGTGAACTTGGGGAGACGATCTCCGGCACGCTCACGCATGACCGCAGGGTAGTCGCCGGTAATGATCGGCTCGAGGAACCAGCCGAAGTCAAAGTCAAGAGCACGCTTCGCAGCAGCAACGTCACGGGGATTGTGCGAATAGAGCGGGTAGAAGTACGCAGATACGAGGACAATTCCGATACGAGCTTTGTCGCCTACAACGTGATTCGTTTTAAACTCGCGGAATTTCTGGACTGCCTTCGCATGGGCAACAAGAACGTTGCGCGAGACGGTGTATGCCTCCGTAGATGAGCTTTTGTGTCCAGGTGCAAACATCCCCGTCCCATAGCTGTAGCCGACAAACGCAAGTGGCTCGTTGAACGTCGTCCAGTAGTCGACCTTGTGGCCGTATTCTTGAAACATAAGAGCCGCGTACTCAACGTAGTGGTCCACGATCTCGGGACTGAGCCAGCCATTTGGAGTGAGCTCGTGCATTAAAGCGGACGGTAAATCCCAGTGGTAGATTGTCAGAATCGGAACGACACCCCTACTGCTCATAGCGTCAATCAACGCGTGGTAGAACGCTATACCCTCCGGGTTCGGACGCATGCGGCGGGTCTCTGGATCCCAAGTCATAGCACGCGACCAGGAGATGGAGAATCGCAGAGACTGCAGCCCCACGTCCTGCATGAGATTCAAGTCGTCCGGGTAGCGGTGGTAGAAGTCGTCAGCTACGTTGGCGCACAGCATACCAGGCTGATCACGACAGAATTCGTCCCATATGCTCGGGGTCCGTCCACCTTCGTTATACGCACCCTCGACTTGATATGCAGCAGTAGCTGTGCCGAACATGAAATCCTCTGGGAAGCAGCGAGGCTCCGACGCAGTGACAAGCGGTGACAATGAAAGCACCGTAGCTGCTATGGTTCCCACGAGCCCAAGGAAGGACCACTTCGTTTTTGTACGATAAACAAGTTGGTTACTTTTTGGCAACCAAGGAAAAGCAACAATGCCCGATTCGTTCACCGCCACATGAGCGGGCAAGATGCAGCTTCAGCCACGCACATTTGATGGCGGATTCAACTGTTGGATCAAAACGATCAGGATTTGCCAAACTCACTTCAACCATTCCGGTGCTCAAATTGCACACGCATCAAGCTCGGAGATTTAAGGCAGCGAGCGACACGAATGAATAGATGTAAGTTACATTGTAAGTTACAATTTGTAACCAGATTTGGTGTACCACTACTAAATAGGGCACACTAGTAAATAGGGGTTACATGTATCACGGTTGGAAAGAATGCCAATCAAATCAAATCTTCGCGTCCCGTTTTTATCAGCTCAAAGAAGGTTAGTTATGATTGGTAGAAAACCGTGTCAGAAGGTTTGATTTGGTTGATTTTGAATCAAAACTTTTGAATACGCAGCTTCACCTGCACGGTTTTGGTGACGGATGAAGGATTGACTTGATTGGCTGACCATACATACTTACTTTCTAACCGTGATAACCCCTAATACAACATGAACAGTGTACTGAAGTTACATGTATCCACTGTAGTGTACTGAGTTGTTCAGTGTACAGTACTGCACCCCGTTTTCGCGGGGGTGGACCATATGAAATTTGCAAGTAAATCATATTTCAGCATACAAGCTTACGTTGATTTGGATTTTTTATATTTATCAAGGGTCCAAGGGCAACCACTAGATATCACCGAACTTTACGTTTCGGCACACCAACTGCGTGAAACCACAGCAAAATTAAAAAAAACACACATAGCTTATCTGGTATACACAGCACATTGCAGATTCACACATAGGAATGTCGATCAACACACAAAAAGTGCGTCCCACCACAGAAAGACATAAAAGATGTGGCATTGGCTGGCTCTACATGTACAGAGTCTGACAGTGCCAAAACAAATTCAGCAAATAGTGACTTGTCATTCATTGAAGGCTTCTCCCGGTCACGGGTCGGAGATATGCCCAAGAAGCTTGAGTGGAGAGAGCTGGCCGTCTCGTTGGCCGAGGAGGAAGGGCATGAACTACTGGACTCGGGAAAGACTACTCGTGTTACCAAGGCTAACATGACCTCATGCACTATCTGCGCGGACCCGACCAAGCATACAATGAAAAATCAATTACTGCGGTGTAAGTCAAAGCATGCCAAATAGCAGGCTCCGGCGTGAGCTGTGGATGGAGAGGAAAATTTTTGACGTGCACGGTGACGCGAATGATGGATTTGTATGAGATTGGCGCTCCTTTTTCGGTGGCGAGGTCACCCCGCGAAGCAGTACTGATGCGACAGCAAAAGCTCTTTTGCCAGGAGCTCGTATCATACCGATTGAAACCGGTTCGTATTCGGAACGCTCTTAGAAAAAAGTATGGGCTGGAGGGAGAGAGGCTACCACGTCTTCGCGCGATTCAGAACTTTGTCAACTACTATTCCAAAACGCAGCTTGGCTACAACGACGAGCACGAAGATATTACGAGTGCGGTGCGAGATCTGGCTTACAAAACCTCAAAAGGTGACTCAGCTCCAATCACGTTTACTTATAGTAAAACAACTGATGGCGACCTCATCGTTGGTGACGGCTCGGATGAGAAACCATTTATTGTGGGGCTGACTACCAGAAATTTGTTACGACTCATGGACCGTGACCCAGGAACTTTTATATTCCACATCGATGCTACTTTCAAGCTCTCCCAGGTCGACTATCCTGTGCTCGTAATGGGAATTTCGGATCGCGCGCGAAAGTTTCACCTGGTGGCGTTCTGTGTGATCTCGCATCGAGTGGAGAGTGTGTACGCAATGGCGCTGCTCGCGTTCCGGTTGATTTTCGCAGAGGTCATTGGAAAGAAAGTTCGACTGAAGTTTGTTATGGGAGACGCGGAGGATGGACAGCTAAACGCTCTGAAGCAGGTATTTCGATTCGACTCAGATTTTGTGTTTCTAATGTGTGTTTTTTCACGTCATGAAGAAGGTGCAGGAGAAACCAGGCATCTTCCTGATAGTGTGGCAAATAATGTATTAGCGCAGATTTACGATATGCACTTTTCGGCTACGCTTGGCGAACTGGCTAAAGTGACGCAGTTTTACCTTGGGCAATGGAGTTCTCGAAGTGATATTGCCCCATTCACTGCTTATTTCACGAAGCAGTGGCTAAGCACGCGGTATTCGAAATGGCAGTGTTGTTATCTAGAGCCTGGATATGCAACTACCAACAATCCTGTGGAGCAATTCAATAGAATCATTAAGCGCGACTACACCTTGAGAGCGCGTCTGAAAATGGGCATGTTGATTAAAGTGCTCTCTGAGTGCTGTACGAACGAGTCGCAGGAAGCACGGCTCTTTCATCTGAATCCTGAACCAACAACATCACTTCTACGTCGAGCCAAGCAACTGGGAAGTGACAAATTGCTGCAAGTTAATCCACAGCTTACCGGGAGTCCGAACTCTAACCTAATTCGAGTAGTCTCGCAACCGGCACCCCGGTTCTACATTCCATCCAAGAAGAGAACGGAAGAGTATCTAGCTGTAACAGCTCAGATGGGATGGAATTACGCGCGTATGGAATATATGGGGCAATCCATGGAGGGTTGGCTTGTTGATGTGTCGTCGGGATGGTGCCAGTGCAAGTATTGGAGAAAGTTTGGCTCTTGCATTCACTTACTTCATGCCCGACTGGCATCTCACCGCGTTAACAACCAGGGAAGGAGAATTTTAGTGAACAGAAACATCGTGCGGAAGAATAAATCGACGTATGCTGAATCCGGTAACACTCTAGCAGGCCGACCACTACTCAACAGAGGTCCGCTCATGTTGGAGTAGTGTTCTGGAGTACCCCTCACCTTGAATACTGATGTTGGTGGTCAATGGAATGTGTCATTTAGGTGGTTAGCTGTATTCCGACATTATCGGACTGCGGGTTTTCCAACTACATAACAATAGAAGCCGCTTGGCGTTGACGTTTAGACACCTTTCTCATTTGTAGGGTATTCCCTTGTTTCGTTCGTCTAGCATGCATCATGTTGCTTTGGAAACAAGTCATGGCTGAGCTTTAAGAGACTTTTAGAAGGGCATCAGCCTTCGATAGTTGTTTTATCCTCGCTCTCTGTCTTTTCCGCAGCTCTTCAGCTTCACGAATACGTCTGGCGTACTCATTATACATGCGCTTCAGTAGTAAGCTTTGTGGAGCACCACAAAGCTAGATCTCAGTATCATGCAGGCTCATTTGTATCAACTCAAAGGTGTCCTTAGGATCTTCATCATCGCTGTCTGAAGAAACCCCGTCGCGTGGCGTCTGCCAAAATGACTTACGAGCTTCCTTTTCCAGCTTGACTCCGTAGAAACTTCTCATCACGTGTTTGACGCTTGGTGTTAGTCACGTCGATTCGAGCCAATGCGTATTGGCCGAGCTTTAGTGATTCCTCGCATCCTGCAGAATATCTAAGGGTTCGTTCATCGTCACCGCAAATTCGATTGTGTCGCTTATACAAAGAGACGAACATATTTGTTCAGTACTTTTATTTTAATTACGGTAAGGTTTTTTTACGTTTAC